TAGACATCGAGAACATCCTCGTGTCTCAAGAAGTTTAGTATCAGATAGTATCTCTACAGCTCGAGGTGTTTGTTGAATACATCATGGCATATGATACCGACGACTATGTCGTACAATTTTATCCTTTGTAAAACTGATTTTATTTTCGTTGGGTCTCTCCCTTTTATATGGCAGGGCTTCATCTTAAAAATTGTGGTCTCATTAGATTATTAATTTTGAGAAAGTCCATGTGCATTGGCATCTCGAGGCGCTAAGTACAAGTGCACATTTGTAACAACGGAACTTCGAAATGTGGTGTCTTTGGAAGGCAACTCGTGGTAATGCTTTGATCAGGGCATCAGCCGCCATCAGCTTGATCGACAATCTGCAATCGAAAGTGTACTCTTCTGACACAATTCATGTACGTAGTAGTATTTCACATCAATGTTCTTACTATGCTTCGTGGTCAACTCCTCAGCCATCTTCTTGATAGTTTGATTGTCTTTGAAGCAAACTACTGCGTTGTTCGGTGCACACCCTAAGTCCATCAACAGGTTCAAAGCTGTGTTGATATCGCGACAAGCTTCCGCAAGACTTACATATTCTGGCTCGGATGTGCTAAGAGTGACAAGACTCTGATGACTCGCTCCCCATTACACTGGTCCTCCGGAACGATACAATAGGTATCCAGTTCAAGATCGCTTATCCTTCTCGCCACCATAACTTGCATCTGAGTATAGACACAATCCCTAACTCTTCCCGGATGCACAGGAGATTTCCCAATTCTTTGTGATTTCAAGATATCCACACACGTTCCTGTCAGCAGCTTCTCTTGCCTTAGTTGGTGAATGATACAATAATATAAGACAGTGCCTGGTTGATCAAAGTCAAATATGGTGCTCATCGGTGTGCTGACTTGTTTGAAGGACCCAAACATTTCTACTAGCTTCGCTATACAAGCTAAGCTGGTTGCGAAATGAAGATTCCTGCTCGGACATATTGATTTTTCAGCCCAAAAAGAAAAATGGTGGTCTCATAGATTTCACGTCGAACTCTTTCTTGATCTGATTCAAAATCTTCACCCCCGTTCGACGTGAAGTCGAGAAAATCAAGCCATCATCCACGTATAGTATCAGGAAGTAGCCTTTGCCTATAGATAGATATGGGTCTGTCAAACTTGGACGAAGGCCAACAACATCGATAAGGAAATCTCTGAATCGTATGTATCGGCATAACCAGCTTGTTTCAGTCCATAGATACTCTTCTGCAGCTCACGAATTGCTCTATTTTTGATCATGTTGCGCTCTTCAACAATCAGCAGGTCACCAACCAGCTCAACACATTTGTTAGGCATTTCAGTACATACAGAATCGTCGAGTGTGCTTTCAGAAATGTAGTCTTCAAGTTAAATTGTAGAATGTTTAGCTTCTCGGAAGCGGCGATAGCCAAACATGCACGAACTGTCTCCATAGTCACCACAGGGGACCAAAGTTTTAACATAGTCACGACCGTACTGTTGGGAATAACCTTTGGGGCATATGCGAGCTTTATGTCGTACAATCACAATCTAGCCATTCGTATCACGCTTGATAGTGAACCCACTTGAGACCCAAGGACTCCGTACGCGCAGTGCACCGCTGTTTTAGAGTTCAGATCTTTATCTTCAATATATACCGCAACTCTTCTCGCATTGCTTCACGAAACTGTTTTTCATCTGATGTCCCTGGCAGATCCTTATATGCTATCTCATCTTCAGCAAAGTGACAGACATCAATCTCACCATAATCTTCGTTTACGATCTCTTTTAGGCTCTGAGCCAGTGCGGGGAGGAGTGTGGTTAGTATCTCGGTCACGTCTAAGCAAATCTCCATAGCCCTGGGCATGTCTGCCCCCACCCCCCCCCCAAGACGGAGTGTGTTTATCAATTAAGTCGCGCTTCTGCCCGTTCATTCTTGGATATACAGGATACTCGCCAGTACCAAACCCGTTCCCACCATCCAGTGGTTTGCTCAACTTGAACCTCGTCTGAGTCACTTCCTAACCTCCAACTGCACCGCATGTTGCAGAATTTATATCTGCTTCAGGAGTAATCTCTGCTTCAAATACGGTCTATGATCCCGGTTCGTCCTCTGAACTGTGATCGTCTCATTACGCTCTAAATCTTCCTTTATCATATCATTCTCGACACTTGAGAAGTACGCATCGCTATCTGAACCGCTATCCCCAACACAAGGTGTGGCCGACTTTGCTGAACGGGTGTTACCCGCCACAGTTGGATCAAGGCTGTAATCACGCGTGTTTACGATGCGCTTCGTCTTCGTATTGTTGATACGCATACTTCCATCAACAGTGTTTAAGCTGGGTCCGAGAAGAATCTCCGCTTGGCCCTTTTTGGAGAACTTTCTTTTCTCACCCGTCTGGAAGTAAACCTTAGCGCCGAATGGTATGGCGTGCGTCAGAGTTGGTTTGGGACCAGTCCAAAGTTCTTCGCGCGATGCTGATCATCCACCTTTATGTGCTACATATGTAGAAAAATCATATTGTCAAAGGCGAATGATGTTTAAGAGTTGGACTCAGACCTAGTCCATCGAGGAA